CTCCCTGGTTGGTTGAGGGGTTGAAGGGTGAGGTCAGGCCCCAGTGCTGCCAGACGTACGACAGTTTCAAGACAGAGAAGGACTGTTGTCAATAGCTATTACTCTGTGTGTTTCAAAGATTTCATTTTTAACTGGATTATTCCAAATGTTTGCTAATGACTGAAAGCCACTAGCAGCCTTTCGACCATTTCTGGCTGGAAATACGGAAGCAGCGAAGTGAGTGACTTGAACCGACTCAGAAGAGCCGACTCTCGTGGGAACGGTGCGGCCCAGCTGGGAACACGTGTCTCCCTGGGCCTGGCATTTGTTCCCTGCCTTGTGAAAGGCGACTTCCATTTTCTGGAATCGGGACTGCCCACCAGTCCTCTTCCCTGGGCTTCTGGGGTCGGTTCAGTTGCCCACCCCGTGCACTTAGACGTCAGGACAGGGAGTCCTGCTGGGTGAGCTGTGTGCCTTGCTCTGCTGTGTTCTGTGTGCAGTGGCGGCGCCTGCTTGTTGTCCGGGTTGAACGTGTGACCTGCAGGCTGATGCTGTGCGCGGCGCTGTTGATGCCGCCTCTGTCTCCTCTCTCCTTGCTGCACCCTGTCCCACATGTCTTCTGCTAGACAGTTCTCCTTAAATCTGCATTTAAATGCAGCTTTCCACCAGGAGAGTTTCAAGCCCATCCCAAAGTCATGAGGCTGGTGGGACGGGCCTGCACCACTGGTCCCTCGGCCTCATGTGACCCCAGGTCATCTCACCCGCCTGGAACTCACCTAGGTTCTGGCAGCCGGTGTGGACGTCATATTGTTTCTCATACCTGGAATGTGAGCCGGTGTTCAGGCAGCAAGTGGCATCTCCCTGGTCATCCCTGAAGAAGGAGGGAACACGGTGGGCCTGACTGCTGTCCTCTGGGGGACCTGCCTGCAAGGGAGCCCTGCCGTGTCTGGAGGTGGGACTTGGGAGGACTCCCGCCCAATTGGCCTCCCCCTCATGGGCCCTTGTCTTTGCTCTCTGCTGCCTTTGCTGTGTCCTTTTGCAGTCGGAGTTTCTAGCCACGAGGAAGGCTGGATGCTGAGGCCTGAATCCAGAGCGGCTGGACTTGGTCCTGACCGGGCCTGCCCCCTCTGTCTCTCCCAGCACCTGTCCAGAAGACTGGATCTGAGCGAGGATCCCATGTGGCATTTGCTGATATCCCTCAGGTCTCTCCGCCATCCTTGTGCAGGCTGACCACGGCATATCGTGTCTGCTGACTCTGTGCAGTCAGGCTGAGAGACAGGCAGGACTTCCCTACTGTAGCTTCCCCGTATCGGGTGTGGGGTAATAACTCTCCTGACCTGAGGGCTGTGGTGAGGATCCGTGTGTGTGCACGGTGCACGCGGGTGGGCCACCACATATCGACCCCCATCACATGGGACGTGCACACTGCCAGCCAGGGGCTTCTGGAGGCAGGAGAGCGTCGTGGGTGAGGTTCGGGCCTCCAGCCATTGCCGGGCCCCAGTTCTGATCCACTCACTTCCAGCTGTGTGCCTCAAGCAAATGGTGCAGCCTCTGCCTCACTTTCCTCTTCTGCAAGGGTATTCAGAGAGGTGTTGAGTGATTAGACTTAGTCGCCTCGTGAGTGCTTAGAGCGATGCCTCGCATACGCTGTTGGGGTTGAAGCTTGGAGGTTTCGATGGGCCTGACGAGAGAGGGTCCCCATCCCCACAAACACAGCGAGAGGCAGAGTCACGGGCCGGTGGAGGGGTGTTGCCGTGACCGCTGGGGGGGGGGGGGGCATGGGACGCTGTGGCTAGGAGGTTGGGCCGAGGGGCCACTGGTGGGAGCTGGGGGACTGAGGCTTGAAGGTTGGACCGGGTGTCCCTGGTGGGGGCACTGTGGCTAGGAGGGTGGGCCGGGGCCACCGGGACTGCACCTGAGCGAGTGTAGTGCCTGCACTGGGCATCCCTGGGGATGACCAGATGCCCCTTCTGGCCGAAACACGAACATGCAGGTGACCCACCCCAACCCAGCATACGCAGCTCTTTTTCCCGTTGTGTTTCATTACTGTTCTCCCACGGACTGAGGGGTGAGGGTCAGGGCAGCCGTGGCTTCCCGCGGTATCTCCTGGTGGGCGCCGTGTCTCTGCAGACATGGCCCATCAGGCAGGCGCTTGCTGGGAGCGTGAGGTGTGTCTGTGCTGACCACTAGGACGGGAGGCTGTGTGACTCCTGTGGGCCTGGCAGCTGGGAACGGCTGCAGCGTCGTTCCGTTTAGAGACAGGAGCGGGAACTCTCGGGTGGAAGCCTGTGTTGGTTTCGCCAGCGGAAACAAGTTCGCTCCCTCTAGGGAAGTTTCTTCATTACTCTTTACTTTGCTAAGTGGAATTTTACTCAAGTTTCCGTTTTTGGTCCCGGTGCCAGCTGCCAGCAGAGCCTGTTTCTGCAACAGGTTTCTTTTCTTTCTTTCCTTTTGGAGTCCGAGTCTCTGTTGCCCCGGCTGGAGGGCAGGGCACACTCACAGCCACCCCGGCATCTACTTGCTGGACTCAGGTGATCCTCCCGCCTCAGCCTTCCAAGTAGCTGGAACCACAGGCGTGCTCCACCATGCCCAGCTAATTTTTCGATTTACTGTAGAGACTAGGTCTTGCCAAGTTTCCCAGGCTGGTCTTGAACCCCTGAGCTCAGGCAATCCTTTCCCTTCCGCCTCCCAAAGTGCTGGGATGACAGTGTGAGCCACCGAGCCTGGCTTGCAGCAGATTTCACGGTGAGTTTGCCTGCGGTGTGCGATCCGCCTATGAAGTTATAAACGGAAACCTTGCTCTCTTATTTTTGGAGAGAGGCGGGCAGCTGCCTGAGCACTTCCTCCTCAGATGGAGGCTCTTGGCACCCTGTGTGGGCCCGGTGCCACCTTGAGGAACCCCACTCGCTGCTGAGTGGTGGCCGTGTTGAGGGCCGGGATGGGGAAGGAGCTCGCTGTCAGGAGGAGTTCACTGGGATCAGCAGGCTGTGGCCAGGCCTCGTTCCATGGGGCACGAGGGCCTCCTGGAGGGCCGCCTGGGGTGTCGTGGGCAGGACAGAGGAGATGAGGAGAGGTGGAGGTGTCGGAAGAGGCCATGGAGCCGCGGGGCTGCAGATGGTTCTCGGCTGATGAACTGCGTCTGGAGCGCTCCCATGGCCATCTGCCACGTGGAGCCTCTGACCTGGAAAGGCCCGCTTGGAAGTGACCCTGCACGGCGTTGAAGGACAGCAGGGGCCACGTGCCACATGGGCAAGGTCGGTGTGGACACCGTGATGCCTGTGACGCCGTGTGGGGTCCGAGCGTGGCGTGCCTGCTAGGTGGTCCTAGATGTTGGCTGTCGGCGCGTTCCTCATTGCCATCTTGGCCCACACGCTACCCCCAGCCCCCCTCCAGTGCGTGCTGGGCTCAGGTCCTTCTTGCGCCTGGTGGTGGCTGGGGTCTTTTCCTCTCTGGCCTTTGCCCTCGGCCTCCCTCCGTGCTGCTGATGTGGAAGCTTCTGCCGGGGGTTGCGGGTGAGTCGCGTGCCTGAACTGTGCAAAGGGGCTGTGAACCAGGACAGTGGGTCTGGAGTGCACTCAGGGGAGGGTCTATATGCTCCGACTGTGGCCTGAAGCCAGTCCCCTTCTCAAGAGTGCGGACGGTGGAGGCTGGAGGGGTCATGGAGACACGGTTCCCACACTCCCGCCTTGAGGCCCTGTGTCCATGTCCCCGACAGGCCACGCCTGCTCGTGCTTGTCACCCCTTCTCTGTGTGGCCTCTGTGGCGGGCTGTGTTCCAGGCCATGGAGCTCCACCTGCAGGCAGGCAGGGACACGGGACAGGCTCGCTCCTCCCTGCTTTGGCTCTGGCCCTGCGCTGTGCAGACGTGGGGTGCCCTCTCCCCACCGAGCCGGCCTGAGCTCCTTGGCCCCTCTGGCCTCTCACTTGTGGGTCGGCCCTGACTTCGCAGAGGCTACGCCTGGCGCCTTGTTTATGTGGTGGAACAGCATTGAGGGGGGAAGGCGAGTTTGGCTCTTTTATTTGTTACTTTTGGGTCGTCCGAAAGCTCTGGGTCCTGGCTTCTCGGATCACCCAGGGAGCTTAAGACTACCGGCCTCCGCCAGAGGGCTTAGGCCAAATCTCCTGGCAGCCCGGGCGTCAGGATGCGGTGCAGGCCCCAGTGACTCACAGAAGACCCAGGGTAGCACCAGGCGCTGTGCCACTAAGGGGAGTCATGCTGTTTTGCTGTTTCTTCTCAGATTCATTTTCTACTTTAGATTAAACAGAACCACAGAGGCCATTTTCTGTGGTTGGGGACGCTGTGTGGTCCTGGGGCTGGAGGAAGTTGGGAGCTGCCCGGGGGCCATGTGGGTGTGGGGACGCACTGTCACTTGGGTGGGGGAAGTTCTAGGAGGCTCTGATGTCCCTGGAGCTGGAGATTGGGTGTTGTCAAACTCGATGACAGTGAGACGACCTGTCCTCAGATTTGAGATATGTTCGATGTCTTTAAAACACAAATACTATAATCCATCTTATCAGCAGTGGTTTATTTTCAGTGGCAGTAAAAGCCCCTGTTTGTTCATTAGGACGAGATGTTGCAAGACCAGCAGACGTCGTCAGAAGAGTGAGTGCATGTACTTGCGCACATCTAGCCAGCACTCTGCAGGGCACCCGCCCCCCGAGTGATGCGCCCACGTCCTGGCTGGATGTTCACTGTGTTGCGGGGCCGTTGGGCTGTCTGTCTGGGGACTTCTGTGCTGAGCGGGTGGTCAGGCCACAGCCCCTCTCCCCGGGTGAGGTCCTCGTGGGTCGGTGTCGCATTTGTCGGGGGTTCTGAGACCTGCCTGTGGTCTTGGAATCCTTTAAAATCATGGACATTTGATTAAAATCATGGGCATTTGAAGTTTGGCAGGTGGTGAGAGTCACAGAACAAGGCACCTGGGACTCCATGAGTGGCACGTTGCAGTTGTGCTGACCCCGCATTCCTTCTTTCTGTGTTCATATAGGAACCTGACGTCCTGACCACTGGGGCTGGTAACCCCATAGGGGACAAGCTGAATGTCATCACGGCGGGGCCCCGCGGGCCGCTCCTGGTTCAGGATGTGGTTTTCACAGACGAGATGGCTCACTTTGACCGGGAGAGGATCCCCGAGAGAGTTGTGCACGCGAAAGGCGCGGGTGAGAGCGGCATGTTTGTTGCAAAGGGCCGGTTGTGGTACCCGGGCCAGGGTGGGGGGCCTTCGACTGAAGCGCCTGTGCCGCTTCCTGGGAGAGAGGAAGCAAGCCCATCCATGGGAAGGAGTGACTGCAGGATGGCCGTGCTCTCAGACAGAGCACTGTGTGGAAAGCAGGTTGTTTACAACTGTGATCTTCATTTCTTCTACCATGTGTTCATCAAAGGAATCAAAATTCCACAGCTCCTCACTGACGTGGTCGGCAGCTCTGGACATTGTGACTTTAAGCAGAACAGTCTTTCCGTAGGCTAATGGAAATAAACAAGCCCGAGGTTCCCGTGGCATACTTCTGGTTAGGGAAACATCACTGAGTGTCAAAAAAACCAAACTGCCTCTAACATTAGACATTGAAATACATGTAAACATCACGTGCATTTAAGAAAAGTGATTAGCTGGGCTTGGTGGCTCAGCCTGTAATCCCAGCACTTTGGGAGGCTGAGGCAAGTAGATTGCCTGAGCCTGCGGGTTTGAGACCTGCCCCGGCAACTTGGTGAGATCTCATGTCTACAATAAACCAAAAATTAGCCAGGCATGGTTGTGCGCGCCTGTAGTTGCAGCTACCTGGAGGGCTGAGGCGGAAGGATTGCTGGAGTCCAGCAGGTCGAGGCTGCGGTGGCCGGGAGCCACTGTACTCCAGTCTGGGCAACAGAGTGAGACTCCAACTCAAAAAAAAAAAGGAAAAGTGAATAAACACAAGTAAGCTCAGTATTTACTCAGCTATTCCAGTTCAGGGTTGCCGGTGGCCAGAGCCTGTCCCAGCGGCTCAGGGAGCAAAGCAGGAACCAGCCGAGCCAAGACGCCATCCTCCACAGGGCCACCCACGCACACCCACGCTCACTCCAAAAGCGACTGTGTAGAAATGCCCATGTCCCCAGTGTGCCCCTCGTGGGACATGGGAAAACCCCAGATACGGGAGGCCATGCCAGCTCTGCACATGGCCCTGACCGGGAAATGATTTTCTCTGTCATCAATGTCACCACGAGATGACGCTGAACGAAATGATGCCGTTTGGGGACCCCATACATGCTTTTCTCCTGCATTGCTGAGACTTGGCGTGGGGAGACAGGGCCTCCTCCTGCCTACTCATGGCACTGCAGCTGCCTCTCTTCCCACTGGGGTCCCCCCCAGTCACAGCTGGGCCTGTCCCTGCCCTATCTCTCCCAGCTCTGCCAGCACTGCAAGGCCCTAGCAGGACCTGTGTCCTTGGGTCGACCTTGATCTTGACCTCCAACTGGCGCTTGGCCTGCCGTTGGCAGAGACCACAGAGCCTTGGGTGCTACCTTGTTATTCCGAGCTTGGGCGTGTCCCCTCCCCTGTCATATAGAATCTCTCAGAAGGCTGGGGCTGAAGTGTCAGTTTCTCTTGTCACCAACGCTGGGGGAGGGCCTGGCGGTGGCAGGAATCGTCCCACAGTCAGGATCTTGGGGCTTTCTCATTAGGGGCCTTCGGCTACTTTGAGGTCACGCACGACATCACCCAGTTCTGCAAGGCCAAGGTGTTCGAGCACGTGGGGAAGAGGACACCCATCGCCGTCCGCTTCTCCACCGTTGGTGAGTTGGCCGTGGCGTGACTTTGCAGCCCAGCACAGGCTGTGTGGCGTCTAGGGCGTCAGGAAAAGAGTAGGAGGCAAGCCCCTGTCCCAGTCACAGCAAGGCTGTGAGTCGAAAAACTATTAGGGACGGGGGTGGGAAGAGCTGGAGCCCGAGAGGGGTGCAGGCAGAGGCTGCCCTGCGGCTTGGTGGCATCGGGACAGCGCTGCCCACATGCTGCCTCTTGGGGCACAGGGTGGGGCCTTCACTGGGTGGCCACAGCAGCCGCGGCCTCTGCTGGGCGTGGGTCCCATGCGGACATACTCGGCCGTGTGGCGTGTGCTCTCTGAGCATGGGCCTGTCTTGCAGAGTGGGGTTACTTCCATTTCAGGGAGCTTAAGGCATTTTCCTTGAGCGGCAGGGCTGCGAGTGTAGCCCTGTCATGTGCATCTCAGCCCCGCAGCACTGCGCTGTTTCCATTCCGCACCAGTCTTTCGCCTTTGAAATGCTGCGGGGAGCAAAAATAAGTGGGGTTTGAGAAAGCACCTGTGTCCTCCCTCCCTCAGTGTCTTCGTGCCACCTCGTCTCTGTCAGCTCCTTACCCTCTTGGCTCCCACCGTAATCCTCATGCTGCTCACGTCCCTTGTATTAGCTGACACCCCAGCTGCCCGTTGAGCAGAGTTGCCCTGCTGTGTCAGGCAGGTGCTCTACCAGGGTCTCGACACATGCCCTGTGTGATCCCAGTTAGTCCTTTTGTTTGGTTTATGGACCGATTAGCTGCCGGGTGATGGGAGTGACAGATCCAGCAGGGACCGGGAAGGATGGACCCCAGTGTCCCTGTGGAACACCCAGGGCTGGCTCACACTTCCTTTGTCTTCGCGTGTGATAGCCGGAGAGTCGGGCTCGGCCGACACGGTCCGCGACCCTCGCGGGTTTGCCGTGAAGTTTTACACGGAAGACGGCAACTGGGATCTCGTTGGAAACAACACCCCCATCTTCTTCATCAGGGACGCCATTCTGGTAGGTGGAGGCGCCAGGCCCTGCCGTTTCTGTGGTCCTCTCGGATTTTGGGCAGGTTGTGAGGGGAGACCTGGGGAGGCCGAGGGAGAAGAACGATGCTTGCTCTCTGCTGTTTTTTATTTTACCTTTTTTTTGTTTGAGTTGGAGTCTCGTTCTGTCACCCAGACTGGAGTGCAGTGGCACGCTTCTGGCCCCCGCAGCCTCGACCTGCTGGGCTCCAGCGATCCTCCTGCCTCAGTCTTCCAAGTAGCCAGAACTCCAGTCGCACACTACCACGCCCAGCTAGTTTTTTATTTAATTTTATTTGTTACCACGCCCAGCTAGTTTTTTATTTATTTATTGGCGAGGTCTCGTCAAGTTGTTTGGGTGGGCCGCGAACCTGTGGGCTCAGGCAATCTGCTTGCCTCAGCCTCCCAAAGTGCTGGGATTACAGATGGAGCCACCAAGCCTGGCTGTATTTTATCTTTTTGAGTCGGAGTCTCGCTCTGTCCCCCAGGCTGGTCTGCTGTGGCACAATCATGGCCTTCCGCAGGGCTTTCAAGGGCTCAGGCAGTCCTCCCTCCTCAGCCTCTCAAGTAGCTGGCAACACGCGTGAGCCACCACACCTGGGCTAAATGTTTGACTTTTTGTAAAGACGAGGTCTCGCTATGTTGCCCAGGCTGGTCTTGAACCCCTAGCCTCAAGCGATCCTCCTGCCTTGGCCTCCTAAACTGCTGGGGCTTGGATCACCTTTTAAACATGTTTTTATGTGTTTAATAAGATCAAGTAACAGCAATTGCCACGGTCTGAGACCTGGCATTTCAGGATTCATTGGCTTACTGGAATCCTGTAAGTCCAGCTTCTTCTCTAGTTGAAGGCTAGAGAGGAGGGTCGTAGTGTTTCTGGGCAGCAGGAGGGTGTGTGTGGGTGGGGGTGGGGGTTCCTTAAAGGATGGGGCAGCTTTGGGTGTGTTTGAAATACTTGAGGGGGTCCCAGGTGCAGGCTGTGTGTGTGGCGCCCATTCCGCCTGGTGGTCTGGCTATTTGAAGTCCTAGAGCCGGGCTCGGCGCTGCACCCCACACGGCTAGCCGTGCCTCGTTTCACGAGGGTCCCACAGTCCCCAGACTCAGTTCTGCATTTTCTCCCTTTTCCACGTAGTTTCCATCCTTCATCCACAGCCAGAAACGAAATCCCCAGACGCACCTGAAGGACCCGGACATGGTCTGGGATTTCTGGAGCCTCCGCCCCGAGTCACTGCACCAGGTGGGCACTTGCTGCTGTTTTGCAGTGTCAGCTGGGACAGGGCGTCAGTGATGCCCTCTGGGGTCTCTCCAGCCAGGGCGTTTTCAGGAGTTGCTCTCAGGCTTGCTTTGTTGGAGGCTTCCTCAGGTTTCTTGATCATGAAGAGCTTGTAAATGACAGGATTTGTTAATCGCCCCCTTTGTAGGCCTTGAGGAATGATGACATAGGACTAGAAACATTGTCAGTTAACACTTAGACTCCAGGGTGAGGTCAAGCCTCAAGTGGAGGCCAAGCACTACGTCTGGGAACAAGGGGAAAGTGGGACCAGACAGAACAGTTCTCAGCTGGGCCTGTGTCTCAGGCCAGGCTCTTTTCAGCCTTCTGCGGCTTTCTCTCGTAGGGCTCCGGGTCCAGCTGTTCATGAATGACATATCGCTCCACTTTAAAGTTCTTTCTGCTCTTTTCTTCCCATGGAGTGATACTGGAAACCCTGCACTAGGAAGCCTGGCCGGTCCATTCCACATTGTGCAGGGGTTCTTGGAAATGCCTGGAATGCCGGGGACGTTTTGATTTCAACCCAGCATTCCAGGCGCTGTGTTTCTGTTCCTCAGGTTTCCTTCCTGTTCAGTGACCGGGGGATCCCTGATGGCCACCGGCACATGAATGGGTACGGGTCGCACACCTTCAAGCTGGTCAACGCCCGCGGGGAGGCCATCTACTGCAAGTTCCATTATAAGGTGTGTGAGGAGGCTACGGCCTCTCCGGTCTTCCTCTGGCCCCGAGGATGGGAAGGGTTGACCGAGGTGACTGCACGTGCCTGAGGGGATCAGTGCCTGCTGCAAGCTGGAAGACCAACGTGGGTCTCTGGTCTTGCCTTCACCTGTGCTGGCAGGGCGACTTGTGGCTGCTGGTCACAGTGTCAGCTTCCTTCTCCCTGGGTCCCACAGGCTCCTTGGGGTTGACTCTGAGAGCAGCCTCTCTCCCTGGCATCGGGTGTCTGCAGCTTTGAGTGTGGAAGGAGGCTTCCACCTGAGTCAGCCCAGTTTCCCTGAGGGCTGCCTGGTGTTCGGAGCCGAGCCAAGAACAGTGAGGGCTGACACTGTGGCTTCTGGGCCCAAGCCGTGCCCTGGGCAGGCAGCTTGGGGTGCAGAAGGGCCTCAGCGGGTTGAAGCGGGTCTCCCTGTCCTCCCCACACCCAACACTTCCAAACGTTTCTCCTGACCTAAGCCACCCATCCGCATTTACTGAGGTCGTATTATGAACAAGGCAGATAAGTGAAATCAGATACAAATACCAGAAAACAAAACTATACTTTTCTCCCACTTGCATTTTTGTCAGATTAAGTCCATGACCTCTGGGGAAGCTTTAGAGAGCCAAGGACCTTGAACTGCTGGAGTGTTCAGGGCCCCTTTGGTGAGACCTGGCACTTATGCCAGTGTGCGGTGTGACCAGTGAGTCCAGTGTCTCACGGGCCTGAGAGCTGGTTAGAGACAGGCCGGAGCCTCGTCCCCGGTGCTGATGCTGGCGTTGAGCGCAGTGGCCCGTCGCGGGTCCCAGGCTCTCTTGGGTCCTGGGGTCCCACTTGGCACCTCTGGGAGCCGCTGTCCTCTGCCCCATCTAGTCCTTCTGTGAGCAGCTGGTGTAGGTGCTACAGGCAGGAAACTGCCGCCTCTCCTGCCAGGGACACCTTGTCTCTGGAATCCGGCAAGATGCAGTCTCACAGACTGTTGTCCCTCAGCCGGTCATTGCCGGAGGGGCGGCTGGTGTTGACAGAGCAAGCTCAGTGGCTCTGGGTCGGCAGGCCGGGTGGGTCGCATGGAGCTGGGCCTGCTGAGTCGCCCCTCGCTCTCCAGGTGACTGTGGCCTGGTATATCTTAGGAGTTCTGTGGACTCTTTGCTGCAAGGCTCGGTTGACACCACTGGCCGTCCACGACTCTGGAAGGATCGGCTGGCTCACAGGCTGCTGGGAGAGGCCCCTGAGGGGCTGAGGTCTGCGGCGTCTCAGAACCAGGAGGGCGTCATAGTGTTCCCAGGCAATTCCCTGTAGTCAGCTAGCTCTCTGGGTGGCCCGCAGGTGGTGGCCTTCCTTGTTTAACCCTGAAGGTCGTGTTCCTTCTCCAGTGGTTCACTCCTTGTTCACACCTCACCACCAAACAGGAGAATGGGGCTTCTGTAGTGGACGCCAGCCAGCCTTCCTTCCCCCTGTTGGGAAGCCTTCCCTGGCACCCGGCTCGCAGGGGGCTTTAGAAGTAGCCGTGGGCACGTCCGCTGAGGTGTAGTGTAGTGGGAGGAGGCCGTGGTGGTGATGTCGTGTGAGGTTCCCATGGCCCATGGGGGAAGTCAGAGGCAAGTGCTGCCTGGCTGTGGTCAGAGCTGCTTCCCAGCAGCTGCACAGCGGTTCTTTCCAGTGCTGGAGCTGCGGTTCTGTGATTTCTTAAAAATAAAAGGCCGGGACAGGTGTGCGAGATGCTCGTGGAGCCATGGCTCAGGGGTGAGAGCTACAGAAGTGGGAGCTTAAAGCGTGACCTTAGGAACAGAGGAAGGTCCTTTAATTTCATTAATCTTTAGCTCATTTTAAAAACACATCTTGGTTTTTTCTGATTTGGAGAGTCATGTGGGTGCAAAGAATTCCGATAGAACACGCAGCCTGAAGTTTGAAGTGTGCAGGTGGAACTCCCCGTGCGTGTGACAGACTCGGAATCGGGGGGACATGGCGATCAGTCCCTCAGAATCCTGAGCTGAAGGGTGGGAGCACTGCGGGCAAGAAGGCCCCACCGTGGTCGCGGCCCTCCCGGGGTGAATGAAGCTTTGCTGCTAGCCGCTGAGGTCACGCGCATCCACCTCTCATCCTCCAGACCGACCAGGGCATCAAGAACCTCTCGGTGGAGGATGCCGCGAGGCTCGCCCAGGAGGACCCTGACTATGGCCTGCGGGACCTCTTCAATGCCATCGCCACGGGCAACTACCCATCCTGGACATTCTACATCCAGGTCATGACTTTCAGCCAGGCGGAGACCTTTCCATTTAATCCATTTGATGTCACCAAGGTGAGTCCGGGACAGCTGTGTGTTCCTCAAGTCTCTCCTCAGCTGACATTTAAGAAGTTCCAGGCAAGTGTTTGTCATGACAGAGACATCACCCAGAGCCCCGGGGCACCACTCTCGGCCCCTGGCCCTGGCCTGTGCTGGAGCTCCCTCGCACCGCCTGGCGCGCTTGGAGGTCCCTGGGTGGACTCCTGTGTCTCGCGTGCTGTGCTTGGCTGGGGTCAGGCTCAGAGACGCTGAGACACTTCTACCTGCGGACAGCGTCGCTGTTCACCATTCACGACTGTGAGAGATTTAGCCAGTGCGCGTCTGAAGTTCGTGTTGTGGCTTCTGGGTTAAAATATTGGTACTTACATGACATAGTTGTGTTTGGGAGCTGCTGGTTTTTCGTTTTTGTTTTTTTAGATTAGAAATTACAGTTTACTTAGAAAGTAAATTAGAGAGTGACAAAGAGGAGATTCACCTCCCCGAGGTAGGGGAGAGGGCCAAAGTGAGGAAGCATGGCCTAACCGTAGCTCAGAGAGCACACGGCCACACCACAGCTTAGTGAGGCAGTGGCCTGGAAGCTGCTGTTTTTGTGGGCAGTGCTGATTTCCGTCAGTTGGTTGTCTGGTGACTGTGAACTTGACCTCGTTTCAGGTTTGGCCCCACAAGGACTTCCCGCTCATCCCAGTGGGGAAGCTGGTCCTGAACCGGAATCCAGTCAATTACTTTGCCGAGGTGGAGCAGATGGCCTTTGACCCCAGCAACATGCCGCCTGGCATCGAGCCCAGCCCCGACAAGATGCTTCAGGTGAGCCTGTGGGCTTGGTTTCAGGGCCGGCTTGCATGATCCTTCTGTGAGGAGCTGACTGGAGCCTTCCTGAAACCTTCCTCTGGGTGTTTTCTTCCTTGTAGGACTCTCTGGGGTGACACATCCGGACGGGTGCACCTTGTGTGAGCCCGTACCCATGGGTTGGTTCCACAGCAAAGGCCCCATGGCTTCTTGGTCCGTGGAAGCCATGCCAGAAGGGCTCGGGTGCTATGGAATGAAGCAGCCTCACGGTCCCCTCGGTCCAGCCGGCGGGAGGCATGCAGTGCCTGTGCTTGGGGCCTGGGTTGCACCTGCTTCCTGGCAGTGTTGGCTTTCCCAAGGGTCCTGGAGGCAGTCCATGTGTTCAAGCAGTTCTCCAGAGCACCTTTCAAGGGTGCAAAGAGTGAATTGGCCAGGAAATAATTGGCTTCATAATTATCATGCCAGGCAATCTCTTGTGTCTTTGGACCATGATCATGAAACAAAGTTTAGAGATGATGCCTGAGATGAGACCTGGTGACTGAAGGTTGCTGCTTCTGTAAGAACCTGGGTCCAGTCTGGGTTTCAGACTCCTTGGAGGACAAGCTCAGATTCCTGTGGTTTTTAAAGAACTTTTTTTCTCTGACTGGGACTAGCCGAGGCTTTTATGGACAGAGTTTTCCCTAGGTTTTAGTTCAGTTTAACTAATATAAATTGAGTGCCCATCTATTGTGTGTGATTGAGTGTCCTGGGGCTAAAAAGATATAAAGCCACAAGGTAACCACAGCACGAGGCACAGTGCCACGGCAAACCAGAAGGTGGGATGATGGCCGTGAACCCTGCGCCGGGCCACAGACAAGTGTTTTTGTGGCACAAGCATGTGTCTAAAGGGAAATTGACATCATTTCTATAGAGTATTGATTTCCGTTCTGGCCAATCCCTCCACTTGAAGTTCCGTGTGCTCTTCCTAGTTTTTAGACGGGTTTTGGAGTGTAGAGAAAGCGTTGGCAAGTCTCGTCCAGCTACAGCTCCTGCTGGCTTCCCCGTGACTTGGGAGCCTTTGGTAGGGGTCACACACTGCCAGGTTTTAGGAGTCGTGTGGGGGAGGGCTGTGGGCCCCGTCAGCCATGTGGTGACCTGTGAGGAGCCACGAGGCTTGGCGTGTACTGAGGCGTGTAACCCGAGGGGCCCAGGAAAGTACATGCGGTGTTGTGGGAGGGGCAACCGGACGTGGAGCCAGGGGAAGCTCTGGGTTGTTCTGGGGTGCTTCTGAGTGCCGTGGCCAGGATGGCGGCAGGACCTCAAGGGCCATCTCCCAGCCTCCTTTCACGCGGTCACATGAACACACATGACCTTCAACCTTGCTTGAAGTGTGACCGGGCCATAGTGAGATGATGGAGTACCACAGCAGTTCTCAGCAGTTCCCGGTTGTGACGGCCTTTCCTTTCCACACGTGCAACCGTCCTACAGGGCGGGAGGGGTTGGGCTCGCAGTTGGAGGGGGGAGGGCCCGGGTTCAGGTGGGTCAGGACGTGGTTCCCAGTGCCCACTCCCCAGCCTCTGCTCCAACCAGGAGTGACACCGAGGGTCATGTGATGGGGCTGTGACCACGACTGCCCAGGGTCTCCTATCCTTTGACGGAGTAACAAGAACAACTTTCTGAGCCAAAGGAGGCAGCCAGCTTCCAGGCTATAGCGGGGTGTTAGTCATGACTGCACAACCAGCCATCTAAATATGGCCTTAGAGGGGGAAGGCTTGCTTGAGACCGGGAGGTTGAGACCCACCTGGACAGCATAGCAAGACACCGTCTCTACATAAAGAAATTTGCCAGGCATGGTGACTTGTACCTATATTCCTACCTACTCAAGAGGCGGAAGCAGGAGGATCACTTGAGCCCAGGAGTTTGAGGCTACAGTGAGCTATGATCACACCACTGCACTCTAGCCTGGGCAATATAGCAAGACACCGCCTCTAAAAAACAAACAAACAAGCGGGGCTTGGTGGCTCAGCTTGTAATCCCGTGCCTTTGGGAGGCTGAGGTGAGTGGATTGCCTGAGCCCGCGGGTTTGAGACCCACCTGGGCAACTTGGTGAGACCTCATCTCTACAATAAATCAAAAATTAGCCGGGCGTGGTAGTGCACACCTGTAATTCCAGCTACTTGGAAGGCTGAGGCAGAAGGATCACCGGAGCCCAGCAGGTTGAGGCTGCAGTGGCCAGGAGCGGCCACTGCACTCCAATCTGGGTGACAGAGTGAGACTCCAACTCAAAAAAACCAACCAACCAACCAAACAAACAAACAGCAACAAAGAAAAGTAAAATAAAAATAAAAAATTAAGTAAATAAACATGGTTTTAGGCTATTTGAAATGATTATGAGAGGTAGAGTTATTCAGCCAAAAGCAAATTATTCACAGAACAGTGGGACTGGCTAAACAAGTGGGTATGAATTATTGGATGCAAATAATCACGTGTCGCTCTGTTTAAGTTGAATTTTATTTTGCCTCATAGAATTAGGGATAGATACAGACTCTTTTTCTTTGAGATAGGATCTCACTGTTACCCAGGCTGGAATGCAATGGTACGATCATAGCTCACTGCAGCCTCAAACTCCTGGGCTCAAGTGATCCTCCCGCCTCATCCTCCCAAGTAGCTGGGACTACAGGTGCATACCACCATGCCTGGCTAATTTTTTACTTTTTGTGGAGATGGGGTCTCACTGTGCTGTCCAGGCTTGTCTTGAACCCCTGACCTCAAGCAGTCCTCCCTCCTGGGTCCCCTAAAGGGCTTGGATTACAGGTGTGAGCCACTGTACCCAGCCTGAATACTCTTTAAGGCTTTTAAGGCCAGTGATAAATTCAATGAAAAGAATTGCTCATAGGGTAGCGTTTTGAATAATGAGAAAACCTAAATACTTGGATATGAATGCAGAATTCAGCATAAGGCTTTTCGTTTCAGCACGACTGAGACAACTTCCATCCCTTCTATCCCACCTGGTTATGTGACGCTTTGATCTTGGGCTCACTGCCCGGCACCATGGGGCCATCATCTGAAGTTTGCTTCATGTGAAGCACTTTGTGTCTAGACCGTCTCAGAGCTCAGGGCTTGGAGGTGCCGTTGGGGTTCCCTGCAGCTGCTTTGTGGGAATCGTGTTTTGTGGGGAGCAGAAGATCGACTTCTCCCTGGAGGGGTAGGGCAGCCAATCCAGGACTCTGGCTAGTGAATGTCTGGTGCACTGGCGGTCCAGTGTAAAACTTCCTTGGCACGGAAAGTGACACTGAGAGACACGATGCTGGCCTGCCATCTGGAAAGCAGGGGGTGTGGTCTAAGACAAGTGGAGGCCGTGTGAGTGCTGAGGCGTGGAATGAGGCTCAGGGTTAGGGAGGGCTCCTGCAGGGCTGGGCTGGAACGGGGTGGGCTGGCCTGTGGGGCCCTCTGGCCGCAGAACAAGCCTGTTCCCGCTGGGTGTTTCATGCCCCATCAATGTTGTTGCATTTGTCGCTGCAGGGCCGCCTTTTTGCCTATCCTGACACTCACCGCCACCGCCTGGGACCCAACTATCTTCAGATTCCCGTGAACTGCCCCTTCCAAGCACGAGTGGCCAACTACCAGCGTGACGGTCCCATGTGCATGCAGAACAACCAGGGTAGGCTGCACGTGCAAGGGTTGGGGCACGGCATGTGGGCGATGGGACACAGGCTGGGGCGTCGGGCTGCCTGAGACTGCTGCGCTGTGGGGCCCTGGAACCCCTGCTCTGAGGCCCCGGTGCTGCCGACGTCTGCGCATCTTCTGCCCAGCAGTGAGGGCCTGAGCGCCTGAGGACTCTCCGTGCAGTCATCTCTTTTCTCTGTTTTATCGAGAGTCCCACCTGAGATGTGACTCGCTGTCCCCAGGCAGTGAGATGCGGGGAGGGTCTCTCACTCTGACTGGAGTAGACAGTAGCCGGTTTAGGAGTGAGCTGGATTTTTCTTTTCTAATTTTTAAAAAATATTTTGTAGTGTCGGGATTTTGCTATGTTGCCCAGGTGGTCTTAAACCCCTGGGCTCAAGCGATCCTCCTGTCTTGGCCTCCCAAAGTGCAGGATTACAGGTGTGAGCGACCCCACCCAGCCCAGGAGTGAGGTTTTAAAGAGCCTTTACAAAATGGGTGTTTCCCCAGCTGGCTCCCCAAGCCTCAGACCCTTGGGAGTCAGAAGCTGAGGCGTGTCTCGGTCTCTCTGCAGTTCTTTGAGACCGGGAGGAGCAGGTCTCATTACAGGTGGGAGGGTGGGGAGGGCGAGGAGTCAGCACATGGTGGGGGGGCCCTCTGTCTTTCCTGGGGGCACAGGCGAAGTCATGTGAGTCGACTGTGAGGTGGGATTCTGCTGCCCCTGGGTTGCTGGAGCTCATTCATCTAATTGGTGATTTTTTCTTTTAATTAATTTGTTGGTGCCATGTACCAACACCTGTTCTAATGATGTTTTCTTTTCTATCTTTCTTCCTTTTTCTTTTTTTTTTTTTGAGTCAGAATCTCACTCTGTTGCCCAGGCTGCAGGGCAGTGGCACAATCACAGCTCACTGCAACCTTGACTTCCTGGGATCAGATGACCCTTCTCCCTCAACCTCCTGAGTAGCTGGGACTACAGGCACATGCCACCATGCCCGGCTGATTTTTTAATTTTTTGTAGAGACGAGGTCTTGCTATGTTGCCCTGGCTGGTCTCGAACTCCGGTACTCAGGTGATCCTCCTGCCTCAGCCTCCTGAAGTGCTGGGATGGCAGGCGTGAGCCGCTGTGCTTGGCTTCTCATGGCCCTTTCTGATAAGTCAAGCAGGATGCTTTCTCCTTTCAACATTCTGCAGCTGAGCAAAGACCTCGGCTACTTGAGCCTCCAGTTTGGGACACGTGTGTCTTAGCAACAGGCTGCTCACACAGGCCCCCTCCGACAGCCTTCTGCTGGTTTCTGTTTCCAGCCATGGCTGTCTGTATTCAAGGTGTATTTTTGGTGACAGCACAGCACACGTGCCCTAAGGGAAGCTGGAAAACGCAGGGAGAGAAGGGAGAAGAAAAGCTCACTCTAGTTTCAACACCAGAACCCACAGCAGTGCCATGTTGCTGAATTTCCTGCCCTTCCTTCCTGTGAGTGTGGTTCCTGCACGGAATCGGTCCTGTGTGTGTGGTTTCGTGCTTCTCTTGCGACCCCCACGGCCTGTCCACATGTTCGATACATCTGTGTGATTCCCGGTTTCGCTGGCTTAGCTGGCCGTGGTGTTTCTGGTCTCTGCGGTCCACAGGCACGAGGCCTGTCACTGCTCAGAGTAGCCGGTGCATCCTGCTGTGTCTTCTGCAGGTTTGCTCTTCTCTGTCTCTTCCATTCACACCCTTCACCCTTTCCCTTGTGGCGGCATCACAGCGGGGAGGTTTATGTGCAATTGCGACGTTGCTCGTCAGCCATTGCCTCGTGTCACCGCTGTGGCAATGCACTCAAGGTGGCCAGGCCTCCCTCTGCCTCCCTCTGATGGTGGAGCCTGCGGGCTGTGGTGGGGAGGCTCCGTGAAAGCTTGGTGGTCCGCATCGGGGCCTCAAGGCAGCTGGCACTTTGGGTCAAGGTCGTGCTTCTTCGGAATAGAAGGCTCACGTTATGCAAGGAGTCACCTTTCGAAGAGCGTTTCTTCTGCAGAAAACACAGCAGCGGCTGCTTGTGGGTATTTTGCATTTCGTGTAGATGTGTCTGGCTGGGCTGGTCGTTGGGCCACGCTGGCATCCTCCCGTCCTCACGCGCAGTGCCCTGGTCCGCGTGAGGCCTGGCAGCTGCTGATTGTTGCTGTGACCCGCCCGGACAGGGAGCTGGGCCACACCAAGGCAGACTGGCTGCTCACAGCCTGCCTGCATGGGCTGTGTGCCTTGGAAAACTCGGGCTTTTGCCTGGAGCCACAGCAGGGAAGGTGAAGATGCCGACGAGAAAAATGGCCTCATCATGAGTGTCCCAAGTCATGGAAGGCATTTGTGCTTGCCGCAGTCTCTTCTGGCAAGTCCAGATGAGTGACTGTTGACGGGCTGCAGTGTCAGACTGGAAACCGCCCCTCTCTGTTTCCCCGTGGGGGCTGTGAACATGAGGCTGCAGCCATGTCGAGTCAGCAGAGCCTGCGAGGGAGTGGCCCCCCTGTCCACAAGCCTTGGCGGGACCATGACGTGGCGTTCTGGAAGGAAGCGCAGTGCCAGCTGGCGGGGAGCCTGGACACCCAGAACATGAGCCTGCGCAGGTGGCTTGTGCGTGGCCTGCCGCAGTCGCCCGTGTGGCCGTAGCTGTGCTCGTGTCTCCCCCACGGAGCCTGGCTGGACTCCAGGCAGCTCCCATGGGTCTTGCGGTCGGTGGCAGAGTTGAGCCCGCACCCCAGTGAGACCTTGGTGTTGGGATGTGTCCTCGGGCCTCACGTCACTCCCGGGGCGTTTGTGCCTGGGCTGGTGAGCATCCAAAGACACGTTGACCAGGCAAAGTGGCGGGGTGGACTTTTAGGGCCTCCTCTGGCGCACAGAGTGAGACCGCCCATGCTGGCATTCAGAGGATGGCAGAACCAGCCATCAGGGCTACCTGTCACTCAGGACTGAAGTCAAAAATAATATGTGTGTTATCAGCAGCATAGCAAGACCCATCTTACAAAAAATCTTGAAAAAGACTAGCCAGGTGTGGTGGTGTGTACCTGCAATCCCAGCTCCTTGGGAGGCTGAGTTGGGAGGACCACTTGAGGCTGGGAGGTTGAAGCTGCAGTGAGTGATGATCGCTCCACTCTGCTATGGCCTGGGGACAACAGAGGGCCCTGTCTCTAGGATGATGGGAATGTGTGTTGCGTGTGTCTGTGCGCATCTGCCTGGTTGCTGCGTGCACTGTTCCCGTCGCTGGGACTCTGGACGTTCTTTGTTTCCCCCGTGACTCCGTGTTTCCTCCTGCAGGTGGTGCTCCCAACTACTACCCCAACAGTTTCAGCGCCCCAGAGCAGCAGCCCTCCGCCCAGGAGCACAGCATGCGGTGCTCCGCAGACGTGCGGCGCTTCAACAGTGCCAACGATGACAACGTCACCCAGGTGAGGGCGCCGTTTCCCTGCCTGCCTGGCACGTGGCCCCGGGGTCATGTGCCTTGGGTGGGGTCCAGGGGCTCCTCAGGACTCGTGGAGAGTGTTGAGCTCCCCTGCCCTCTGGCCCAAGGTGGCATTGGAGACTCGTCTGGGCCCTGCCACCCTTGACGAGGGACCCAGGGAGGGGATGGCTGAGCTCTGGGAGGCCCAGGGAGAACGGCAGCACCACATCCAGGCAGCCATGACATCCGGGCAGGACGGCCGCTCCAGGCTGGGGAGGGAGATCCAGCCAGCCAGAGTCGGTCGCAGGGAGGTGTCTCCCCCAGGCCTTGGGGGTCACAGGAAGAGCACCTCCACCCCAGGGTTTGGGGGTCGCAAGAGAGGTGTCTCCCTGCAGGCTCCTGGCTGTGCTCCTGCTCTGAGGACTGTGGCAACGGTCACCACGTCCTGTCTCGGGCTGTGTGACATCCTGGGTGGCTCAGCTGTGGCCATGGCCTGACACACCCTCATGCCTCGCCACGTGTTCCTTCCACTTCCCACCTCCTGTATGGATTCTGGGGAGGGCATGGGCTCAGCCGGGCTGCCTCCCCCCAGGCTGCCCGCTGGCCTCCGCTCTGCCTTCGGTTCCCGCCCAGCCCGGCGGCTGCCCTGAGGCCCTCAGTGCTTGGAGAAAGCCCTGGGACTTCGCAGCTTCCTCCCTACTGTGTCCAGGGAGCTCATGCCACACACATGAGCCACAGGCTAAAGACATGGTTGGTGCTGAACTTTGTGGGAGCGAGCGTGGAGCCCCGTGGTCATTTCTCCACTGTGAAAGTGGGTTCCAAGTCAAATACACTTCAACACATGAAGTAACTCACTGTCAGACAGCTTTGTTGGCAGCGGATTTACGCAGACATACGCATGTGTATTCAAACATGATTTTATTGTTGTGTAGAATCCATACTTAGATGGACTTAAAGCAACTCCTCCAGCCTTTCATATAAATAATGGCAAAATGTCTCTGGAGATGCTGATGACGCCAAGTATGTCCCAGGTCCCTCCCTGCCTGTCAAGGTGTTTGCCTGGGTGAGGTCAGCACAGGTATTAAAGCAGCTCATGGCTGGGCATGGTGGTTCAGCCTGTCATCCCAGCACTTTGGGAGATTGAGGTGAGAGGGCTGCCTGAGCCTGTGGGTGCGAGACCAGGCTGGGCAACTTGGTGAGACCTCCACTCTGTAATTAAAAAATAATTAACTGGGTGTGGTGGCGCACACTTGTAATTCCAGCTACTTGGAAGGCTGAGGCGGAAGGATCGCCTAAGTCCAGCAGATCGAGGCTGCGGTGGCCGTGATCGTTCATGCCCCTGTACTCCATCCTGGGTGATGGAGTGAGACTCTAACTAAAAAAAAAGGCAGCTCATATGACCCCCACAAACATTAAGTAGATAATGAAGCTGTTGCTTATACGCCACAGTTTACTATATGATCATTCTTATTTTTTGAGAGGTTTTCTTGTCACTGTACGAGGGGGACCCAAAAAAACTCGGAATGATCTCTTGGAGGACGGATTTGTTCCCCAGGTCAAATGGTCAACCAAAACTTTTACCTGGAAGTTTTGAGAAACTGTGTCATGATTTGCGGAAGAAACATCCTGAGTTGTGGCAAACAGGGGACTGGTACTTCCAGCTGACAATGCACTGGCCCATACTGCGCTGAGTGTTCAGCAGTTTTTGACCCAAAATGTCTTGACCCCCATACGCTACCCTCCCTATTCACTTGATCTTGCCCTGAGCAATATTTTTTTTTTGTTTTGCGCATGTGGAAGAGGTGAACAGGAAATGGTAGAAACACTAAAGAGCATCAAAACTGACAAGTTTAAAAACTGTCTTGAGCAGTGGAAAAAGTATCTCTATAGGTGCATTGCATCAAACGGAGAGGACTCTGAAGGTGACTGAGGTTCAAATGTGTAAGAATAAATACACAGTTTTTTATAATGCCATTTTTGGGGGTTTCCCTCATGTAGGATTCACATTTCTAAGGAGGCCCAGTCCTGTTGCTGCAGATTCATGGCATAATTCTGAAATGCTAAGGCTTGCACAGAACATACATAAGAAGTCCTCGAGTTTTCTCCTGTGAACGATTTACCTGGACTTCCACTTCTGTCTGTGGCAGGCTAGCTTGTGTCAGGCCTATCTTTGTGTGGAAAGCAGGAAAAATAAAAAAGCGTTTGCTGGAAGGCTTTGTGAGGGGGCGGGGGGGTTACAGAGCACCATGGATCTAAGGAATCAAGGCCAAAGTTAGAAAAGCCCAGGAAAGACTAGAAGTGCAGAGCAGTGAACTGTCTGCGGACTTTCCTCACAAGGCGTTTATCAGTTTGTAAGTGTGGGTCAAGATTCTGGCAGAGTTTACAGCAGTCTTATGGGTCTGCAGAGACCCAACGTCGGGCCCAGGGTCTGGTCACCACCCCAGGCTCTTAGCTGGAATCCCTGAATGGGCCAGCTCGGGGATAAAGGACAGCCTGGGATAAACGTGCCCCCCAAAAGTGGAAACACAGCTTTGTATCGGCTCAGGCTCAGACTGGGCCAAGGTGATCTCTCTCTATCCTAACTGACTGCCAAAATAGAACCTGAGATTATCTCTAGACGGGTTCATATGCACATATCCAGCATTCAGTAATATATTCTCAAGCACACCTAACACCTTAAGACCTTATGACTGACAATCAGGTGGGGGTAAAAAACCTTCAAAACACTGACAGTAGGAGCACATATCCTGGAGGTCATGGAACTGTCAGATGCAGGTTTTAAAATAACTACTATTAATAGGTTCAAGAAAACAGATGGCAGCATGGCAGATTTATTAAGAGAGCTTTATTCTATAAAAAAAATCGAATGAATATACTTAACTAGGAGATGCAACAATTGAAATTAAGAATTTAGTAGATGGGTTTTAAAAACAGTTAACCTGGCTGAAGAGAGGATTAGTAAATTGGAAAATGGAGTAGGAGATACTATCAAGACTAGCTCGTGGAGAGAGAAAGAAATAACTCTTTTTGAGGCATCATTCAGAGTTTGGAAAGGAAGTCCCAGACTGGGAGAATGTATTTGTAATTAATCTAACAAGCAACTCATTTACACAGTATATAAGGAACTCTTCCTACAGAGGAATAGGAAAAAGATAGACAGCTAAATAGAAAAAGGGGCAACAGACTTGAATAGGCACTTCATGAAAGATGATATCCAAGTGGCTAGAAAAGGTGGTTTACCTCATTAGTCATCAGGTATGTACGAGGGGGGACCTGAAAACCTCCCAGAATGATCTTTTGGAGGGTGGGCCACTGTAGTATACTTGGAATTTGTTCCTCTGTATCAAACGGTCGACCAAAGTTTTTACCTGGAAGTTTTGAGAAAGCTGCATCATGATTTGTGGAAGAAACATCCTGAGTTGTGGCAAACAGGGGACTGGCTCTTTCATCGTGACAATACACCTGCCCACACTGTGCTGAGCGTTCAGCAGTTTTTGACCCAAAATGACATACCCCCCGCCCCACCCTCCCTATTCACCTGATCTTGCCCGGATGAAAAAGTCCTCAAAGGGAAACATTTTGCCACTGATGTGGAAGAGTTGAAACAGAAAACAGCAGAAGTGCTAAAAGGCTTCAAAATGGACACATTCAGTAACTTTTGAGCAGTAGAAAAAACTGTATCACATTAAACAGAGAGTACTTTGAAGATGGCTGAACTTTAAAAATGCAAACATAAGTAACACAATTGTTAATAAATAAATAACTTTTGGGGGGGATTCCCCCCTCGTACTAAATAAAGCCAAAGGTAAACACCACTACACATGCACCAGGGTGGTTAGAGTTAAAAGGACTGACCTCACCAAATTGTGAGAATAAGAATCTCTCTCCTGTGAGGAGTTAGCCCGGCTGTTCTGGAAAGTTGTGCGGAGTGTTTGTGAAGGCTGAACACAGGCTTGCCTTCTGGCCTGCGAGTCCACTTCCAAGTTGATGCTCGGTGAGAATGTGTGTGTGAGTCTGCTGCTACCACCCAAATGTTTGCAGCAGACAAATGGACAATAAGTGAATCACCACCGTGGGCAGCCCGGGCATTGTCGAACTGCTGCGGTGAGCACCCAGACGTGCCCTACCGCACGATTTTGAGCAAAACACATGGACTGCGTGACTTCATTTCTGTCCGAAACACTTATGGTGTCAGGAGAACAAAATTGCCCCTGGGAGGAAGGGAGCACGTGACTGGCCCCGAGAGGGTTTCCGAGGTGTGTGGAGTCTCACCCTGAGCCGGTGGGCTGCACAGCTGTGGCCACACCGAGGACTCAGGCCTTTCCTATAGGCAGTGCATGTGGTTACAGAGCTTTTGTGGGAAGAGCGTTGTCTTACTTTGTCGTGATTAGTCCTGGCGTCCTTTTTCCTTTAAGAGGAGTTGGGTTTTTCCCCGAGAGGCCTGCGGTTAATGTGGAGCTCGAGGGGCTCAGAGCCCTCATGTGGCTAGTCCAGGGTTTGGGGGGCCAGCCCCCAAAAAGATTTTTAGGGGGTCCCTTGGAAGGTGTGATGGTGTCGGCGTTTCTGTAAGGATAGATATTAAAAGAAAGAAAGAAGGAGGGATAGATATAAAGAGGAAGAAAGAAAGTGGACATCTGTTCAACGGATTGACCAGAAGCCGTTTATTGGGGGTTTACAGCTTGTATTTATCCCAAAGTTTACACAGACAGCCTTACAAGTCTTCCATGTGAACACAAGCCAGGTGCAGGAGGGGCGGCCCCCCCACCCACCAGATGTTTCCTCAGGCATGAGGAAGAACAATCTCAATTAAATCACAAAACCTTTACATGAACATAGAACCAGGTGGATGAGGGGCATCCCCCACCCACCAGTTGTTTCCCCAAGCATGAGGTATGAGGATCCCAAAACTATCTCACTGTTCCTCATGCTTGGTTAATATTTCTCAAAAGCAGTACAATTCTAATAATATTCTAACAATCAATAACTTTAAAAACCTATGCATATGCAACACCTAATAACCAACCTAAATCCCAATTCCTCTCTATTTTACACTAATTCTACCTACACTATAGAAACTCTTAATTATAGCCCAAACCAATTCCTGAGGAATGTGGCCCAGTCTAAAACTCATGCTGGGCCTTTAGAAACATGACCCAGTCCAAAGCTTGTGCTGGGCCGTTTCTAGTAGCTGTAGATATTTATCTGTATTATTAAGGTTGAAACAGCACTTTGTATGTATATACTAGTTCTACAAATATACCATTAAGTCTTTAAAGAAGCTTGTACTGTATTAAAGACTTCCAAATGTGACCTGAGTTTGAATTATGTTAAGTTTAAAGCCAAAACCGCAGTCTGTGAGAAACGGGAACAATGGATCCCTAGAGTCGGTCATACCTGTCATATTTTCAGAACTTTATGCTTAGATAATCAAAATCCCTGCCAGTGGGTAATGCTAAACAACAATGAAAGAAG